ATACCGGTTAGCTTTGCCTCCGTCGTTGGAGGGAGTGCATGATGTGTTCTACGTATCCCAGCTTCGACGATATGTATGAGACGAGACTCACGTCCTGGACATCGGAGAGCTTCAGATTGGGACGAATTTATCATATGAGGAGCGACCAATGAAGATTTTAGATCGACAGGAGAAGGTCCTTAAGAACAGAACTATTCCGCTCGTCTTAGTATCTTGGGGACATCATGGACCTGGTGAGGCGACCTGGGAGCGAGAGGACGACCTTTGTCAACGATATCCACATTTCTTTGCTACAGGTGATTTTTTTTAGTTCTTCTTATGATCGGATAAATTTCGAGGACGAAATTATTTTTTTCTTAGGTGGGTAGGATGTAATAATCTAACTTTTCTATACTAATTAATTATATAGAAGGCCCATCTGATTTTTTGATTTGAAAAAGAAAATAATTTAACAAGTCTATGCAAGGCCCATGAGTGTTTTGAAATCAGGCCCAACCCCATGGTTTTTTTTCTTACCAGGTCACGTATCAAGAAGTGGATTAGTGGGACAATAACTAACTAACCCATGATCTCCACTATCCTCACCAACATACCCATCAACCACTTAAAAACAAACCCTCTTCATTTTTTTTCTCACGGGAATCAGAGAAAGAAAGTCAAAAAAAAAAAAAGAAAAGAAAAAAGTAAACCACATCAGAGAACAAGAGAAGGAAGGGACAAGGGTTGGATTCTCTTTTGGATTTGGGAGCATAGTATTCTTCCAATTAATTGGCAAGCATTCTTTCCTCAAATCTTATTTTATTTATTTTTTTATTTTGGTATCCCTTCTTCAATTATTATTATTTTTGTCATTATTATTTGGGCGTCTTTCATGCAAGCATCTCTTTTTCCTCAATTTAATTTCTATTTTTTTTAGTTTATATTCATACCGGCATTTTTGTTCCTCTCCTTTTTCCTTGCTTGAATTTCTTTTTAGATTGATGTTTTATACCTAGGGTTTATGCTAGAATCATTATTGTAATTTCCTTCATAGGTATAATTTTTTATATTTTCCCTTGCTGTGTTTATCATACACTAGAACTTATAATTATATTATTCAAGTATAGTACTATAAGTTCCCTTCCAATTTGTGTTTTTGATTTTACTGTTTGAATTTTTCATGCCTAGGACCTGTAGAGTAAACTGACTTGAGTATGGTTCATACACAGATTCTCCTATGTGTTGACTTATTTTTCTAGTAGTGTCTACAAAATTTACACCTGATGCATAATTTACTCCTTATATATGACATTAGGTAACTAGCATTTAATGGTTAATTTCCTGTGATTTATTTTCTCCAGATTGGGCATATCAACCGTGGCTTTGTTTTTAGTCAAGCGTATATATATATATATATATATATTTGTATATCATATCTTAACTCTAGACTAAAGGGTATTATATATATACTATAATTTCAATAATAACATTATTCCTTTTCAAGAAAAGAACTTAATCATTATTTAATGTATTTTTTTTGCCATAATGTTTACACAACATATTGGATAGTGTTTTGAACCTTTTAACAGACCACCCCATATCTTAAGAGTATATATTTTTGAAGTTATCTTAACAAACAGTATATAGGTTTATATATGTTTTTGTAACATTATATCTAAATGAAGAAGCCATTGAGCTCGTGGTTAGATAGGTTGTGCTTTACTATAGTAATTATGGTTGAAACCTATGACCATTTTCCTTTTACACTATAAATTTTGGGTTCACTAAGAATCAGATTGATTGACTATAAATGATTTTAGTTCGTCCTATCTTGTTGAAAGTCTCATTGCGTGTTTACAGTTGGTTGGCTTATCCCTTTAAATATATATGATTCTACTGAACTATGTTGGATCATACTCTGGATTTGCTATACATTGAAATATGTTGTGTGGTTGAAATCAGTGTTAATTAGTAAAGTCATCAAATAGGCTAGACTGTGCATGAAGACGACTTCCGTCAAAAATATGATTTATAAGCGTGTTTCATAGCATGGCTATGCTCTCTATATCTATATCCCGATATGAGATTTTTCCTTGACTATTACTATTATTATAGCATCGACTAGACGATGCACTCCTCTTGATTGGACATGTTCTGGGTCACGGTTATTTCTCATAATTTTATGGAAGTCGTTCCACGGTAACTCTGTGGTTAGTGCACAACATTTCATGCACAGTTACTTAGATTAAATGACAAACATGGGGTTTAATAAAGAGGAATTGGACGGAGATTATAACATGTATATAAGCGGGCTTATGCGCATTCTTGATATCCTGGTATATATGTATAAGAATTAAGGGCCCATTATGACTTGAAGCCGTGTTCCCGGGACGGTTTACGGGAAACCGACTTATATACATGAAATATTCTTCTCTAATTCAAATAACATCTAAAATAATAATAATAGGCTTGTGTGTCTTGTGGTTGACTTTGGTTGGTATCTATAATAATTATTATTATTTCATCTTTAATTAAGTTTGTTTTTCTTTATCTCTGCCACATCACACTTACACGCGCACAATTCCTTCATTTTACATGCTTGTTGGGAGTTTTCTGACTCCCCTGGGGTTTGCATGCCCCAGATTCAGGAACTGTTCTTTCCTCGCAGGATTCTGAGTATTTCGAGGAGCAGGCTCAGCGGCAGTGATCACCGTTCATTTCATTCAGTTCTCTATTTCACTTGTTTTAGGTAGTTATTTTGATTGAGACTTTCTTGTAATCTCTTGTAGAACTTCAGACTATGAATATTTTCTTTCTTCCATTTTGGATAATTGTGGACTCGTCACAGACCTCTGGAATTTTTAGATATTTCTTTATCTAGCAGTTTTCTTTTATCCTGATTACATGCTCTATGGTGTAGTTTTAGTTTTATATTGATATACATGATGATCTAGAGGCGTGAATGTGACCGTAGGGTTATATTGCCGGCCGAGTCATGTTCCAAACTTTTATATTTTGGAACCAGGGCGTGACAACATTAGAAGTAAATTATTTGTTAAACATCATCAAAACAAGAAGGTCAATAAAAATTCCCTATTAAAGAAAGTCATTTTAGTTAAAAGAAACTCTCAACCGATAATAAAAGGATTACGGCCAATTTACAATTCTTTTTACCTATAAATCTTCACTTTTTCTTTCATGTAGCAAAAAACCAAGCTAATTCTTTTATGGTTGAGGGATATTTTGGTCTTTCCAAGTCAAGTACTTATCACATAATGAATTCGACTCAATGATATTAGTTTTGAGATAGTTGAGGGGAAGTTTTCTAAAATTAACCCTTAAACAAAGCATAATTTAAGACACATGTGATATCAAAAGCACGTGAAAAGATATGATAGTGGGGCCCATGATGTGATCAGGAGTTGTTTAACAAATCAAAGGCCGCGTGAAGGGATCGGAACCCACGTTCCGCGTGAAGACTTCGCGGCCTACAACCCGAGTACCCGTTTCCTCTTTCCAGCAGCTATATATAGCTTCGTAAGGTGCGAAGGAGGTGTGCTAGGCTGGGGGCGGATTTGTGCAGAAAGAAAAATCGGCGGCAGGCAGAAAGAAAAGTTGGCTAAATTTTTCGGCTGAAGAAGAGAAATTGGCAGAGGCTTTTCAGCGGGTTTTTAGCTGCATCCTTTTGAGAGAGTTTTTTTGTGTGAGAAATCTGAGAGTTTGTGTGAGGGTTTAGATTGAGTGATTGTAAACCCTAGTTGTATTCTCTCCCTCTAATAGTAGATCTCCCCCTCCTTGCCCCGTGGTCGTAGGCAATTTGCCGAACCACGTAAAATTGGTTTGTTTGAGTTTGTGACTATTGTAATAGTTTTTAGGATCTCTCGACAGGTCAGTCCTAGAAATGATGAGAGGAAGAGCCGATATCTCACTTTGTTGAGATTTTCGCTTCAGATTCTTGTTTCCTTGGTGAGACAGAAATTCTTATCGATCTTTCTCTCTTGTGCACTAGAAACTCTGCCGAAATTTTCGCTGTGCACAACAGATATCACCAATAAATTAAACTTCAAAACCAACAAAAAATATGAGCAGAATTTACCTCGGATGAATTTGGATTCATGTTGACAGAGATCCAAGAGAAACCTGCAGTTGAATCTGGAGCGGTTCCGAGAAGATCAAAGATATCACAAAAGACAACCTAATTGCGAGTAAACCAAACGAAAACATCAATTCAGACAATGAATCGTACTGTGTTACTGTAAATAAATTAAAAATAACATCAAATGACTCATCACTTCAGATTAACTCCAACCAAGCATCCACAGAACAAAATCCGTATCAAAAATAAATTACAAGCTCAAATCGAAGCTCACCTCGGATCTTACCCCATGTTACGCGATCGGCGATGAACGATCCATAGAAGAGCGAGGGAACGTTCGCGATCTCAAGCTGACTAGAGCTCGATTGGAGAAACCCTAGTTTGATCGACGTCGAACTAGGGTTTGATCGAGAGAGAGAGAGAGAGAGAGAGAGAGAGAGAGAGAGAGAGAGAGAGAGAGAACGATGAGGCGACGAGCAAGGAGACAAGGAGAGATCGGGGTCAGCGTCGAGCAAACGTTTCCGTCGTTCTCCCTCGTTTTCACTAGGGCAGCGAAGAGAAGGGGGGAAAGAAAATATATATACCTATTTTTCTGCAGTGAAATTTATTTTCTTTCCCATTTTTGTTTTCTTCCAAAGCAAACAACAGAAACTTACTTTCTCTCACACTTTACTTTCCTTTCTCTC